TGTAGATACCGGGTAGCTTAGTACATCGACGCCGAAACAGGATATTCACCAAGAGAAGGTGGTCCTGCGTATCTGGTGGGTCAGCAGACAGGGACTGCCGAAAGCCACAGCTGAAAATTGAATAAGTTGAGCAAAGAACTTAATCAGAAGGGACCATTTACTGGACAAGATAGCAGACAAGTCATACTGCTGCTGCTGCTGCTGCATGACAATGCTCGACCACCTCACGTCGCCCGCGAGACCCAGAAGACCCTCTTGGACTTAGCATGGGATTTGGTCCACCCTTCCAACCACCATTTGTTCCGGTCGATGCAGCAGCAGCAGCATCACGCCTTAGTGGAAAAACAGTTTCTAAAACGTTGGACGATGCGCGTAAATTTGTCGTCGGTGACTTTATTGCGTTAGCTGAGAGATGGCGCACGATCATAGAAAACGTCAAACAATATTTCCAAGATTACGCTTGTTGTTGTCGTCCAAAAAATCTGCTGAAAATCTGCAAGATTAGGTCATACACCGTCAGATTCGGGACTAGGCCAGAGGTCTTTCGTGAAATTGAGTGGAATAGGAAGCTAGTGTGTCATCATTGCTGTTTTTGAGATTAAGGCAAAGCACAACAAAGTTGTGTCAACTGGTTCGGTTGTCAAAAAGAGGCAAAACTCACCTCGCCCCGTCGACATCGGGGGTCGAGTGGAAGCCCTGGACGGCGGAGACGATATCGAGGCACTTGATCAGTCCGGCACGCGACACGGCCCTGATGTACTGGAGGTGGTTGTCGGGCGAGACGCGGCCGTGCGGACAGAGGAGGAGTTGGGCGTCGAGGGAACGAGGCAAGGCGGCGGGGTCTTTAGGCGGCCCAACCAGCTGCGCGGGCAGCTTCTCGGGCTGCTTCAGCCAATTCACCAGCCAGCGGGTGGGCACCATGCAGAAGTCGTCGGCGGCGTCGGCAGCTACGGTCGCGTCCCTGCTGCTCGACACCCGCCGACGCTTCCTCGGCGGAGAAAACGGGGATTTCTGGGGACTGTCTGGCTCCTTCGGTTGTGGCGGTGAGCTCGGTGTGGTGGCGGTGATGATGGAGGTGGTGCGAAGGTAGGTGAGAAATTGAGATCGCAGTTCCTCGCGTCGTTGAGCCAACTGACTCTGCTTAATCTACAGACAAATCGTTGAACATTATTCGTTTCGGGAAGCTACGAGTTGCTTCTCTGGACCTCCCTACCTGTCTCCAACCAATAGGTCAGTCATGGAATGCTGGTTACCATTGCCACGCCTGACGCTAAGGCTCTGTTTTTTGATTGTTGTGTATCGTGTTTATTCACACCCCTTAATCCGGTCGCTTCACCTCCGACACAGGGTTCCCCTTTTCCTCTCAACGCCCCCTCTCATTCACACGGATATTTATCTTGGAGTATCCTCACACCTAGGTCTCGATGTTAGCGCATGTATGACTCACACATCCGAGGTATAAATACACACGCGCGAACCCCACACACGGCATAACAACACTAACGTAGTTGAAAGCTCTGAAGTAGACGGCTGTGCCCACGTCCTCCCCGATCTTTTTTTTTCTCATTGCGGGTATCAGGAAAGCTTAATCGGGCCGGGCTTAATTCCGTGGCCCCGGCGTGGTTCAAGACCATGTGCCGGGGCCCACAACAATGTGGTGGTGGTGACAAGGGTTGTGGGGGAGAGGACGGATGAACATCTAAGCAAATAGTAGTAAAGGGAACACACACGCACACACAGCCGCATTTACCTGTTCTAATCGTTTGATTTCATTCTCCATCACGAACGCCGAATTGCTGGCCTCAACTATCTTCCGCAGACGATCCGGTACCTCCACTTGATCGGCTAATCGGAAGGAAAAGAAAAACAAAGTGATGAGGAAAACAGAAATACAGGTTCCCCCGTTGTTGCCCAAAGTAAACCTGAGTATTCTCGCCATTATTACACATCATTCATTGTGACTCGTCGGTAGAAACACAGCCAATCACCTGTTTTGGGTTCAAGGTCAGTGACGAGGCGGTAGAAGACCATGTAGGCGGTGCTCGAGACGTGGAAGTCGCGCCGATGCGACTGACTCGCCAACGCAGCCGTCACCGCCTCGCCCAAGTCTTCGCTACCGCCAGCCGCCAAGGCGTCCTCCTTAGTCGGGGTGGAGAGATTGGAGTCCTTTCGGGAGGCGGGTTTGGCACACTGACCAGCGTGGTTGATGCCGTTGACCTTGGAGAGGTCGAATTGACTGGCGGGGATGGTGAAAACCTGCAAAAAAATGTTGGGACTCTGTTTTTGTTGTTGTTGTTGTCGTCGTCGACATGAAACACCGTACTATCGAACAACACAAGCCCAAACGTGCTTGTGAGGTAGAGCTACAATAACCTTGAGAAGGTTGCAGTGAAATCTGCAAAAATCGACAAGTCTGAGATATCTTGAATGGGGCAAGAGTAGAGCTAGGGCATAGCTCAGATGGAAGCACGCACCTGTTCATCGTTGCAAACCTTCCAAGAGTCGGTAAGACTGTCTGGAGTGCCGTCCAACGACGTGGGACAACGAATGACGGCGATGTAGTGGCCGGAGGTCGACTGTCGACCAAGATGCAACAGCACGCCCGAACAACGGTACAGCCGACGACTGTTGGAGGCAGGATCTGTGGAGAGGAGGAACGCAAAAAATACCAAGCAAGAATGCGTGGGCTCTCCAAACGTCTCAGCGTGGGCTCTAGCCTCCACTGCGTATTGCTTACTGCTGATGAATTCACCCATATCCAACATGTCAGGCAGTCGAACGGCGGTCTTCTGTTTCACCCGACGCCCAGAACGAACGTCGTAGGTGAAGCGGAGGAGTTGGAAGCACAGCATCAACGGCGTCTCTGTTATCCGCATGCACCGCGATCCATCGCGCTTTTTGCAGCACTTGGGACAGGCGTATTGGTTCTCACCGGTCAAAAGTTCTTCCTACATTGGAAAGGAAACACCGCGTCGATTGTATCGGCCGCCTTCACTGGTCGAGCACAATAAAACAAAACAGATCCAGGCGAAGTACAGCATGCGCCGAGGGAAATTATTGATAGTTTCGCAGGTTGAGGGGTTTGGCGCAGCTTCATTGGTCAAGTCAAGGTCAAAAAGCCAAATGAAATGCACTAATGGCTTTAGGACCGAGAATCGCGCGAAAACAAACGCACATTCTGGTCGCTGTTCCAGGATAACATAAATATGCCTCTAGGGGCGCGAATCGTTCCAAAACGGACGAGAGAGGAAGGGCGCAATCCTATTGGTCAATTCAAGGTCAAATAGTCAAATACAATTAATCCATGCCGAGGAAACCGGATATCACACGAAAGCACCTGCACATCTCTGTAGGTGCTCTAGCACAACACAAGCCCACTTCTCGTCTTGCAAATTGGTTCAAAAGACTCGGTCAGATCTCAAGGTCATTCAGGTCATCTAGCGATTACGACGAATCAAGAAATGGCTGCATCGAAGCGTGATAGAGGTACACAGGATGAGGATTTTACAGTAGAAAGAAGCGAAGAACCAAAATAAGAGGATAACGGAATCAAACCCACAGCAAGGTACTTGCGAATGCACTCGTTGAGGCAGCTTGAAGACACCTTGATATCCAGCTCGAGAAATGACGACGGACGTCGTGACACGAAGCCGCAGGATTGGCATCTAAAGGCAATCGGTTGAAGACGCGATAAGGTACGTCTGCTGCTTCGCTAGAAGCTCTGACTTGACATCTGAGGTGGACATAAAACACGGTATTCTGTGTGCGTGAGGTCTGCCGCGGAGGTGTTAAAACTCCACCTTGTGCGAGCACGTGATACACGGTCAGTTTGCTTAAAATTAACGGTAAACCCACACCATAGTCAATTTTAATGTGAGTATTCTAGATGCCATTTCATCGCACCGTTGATTTTAAATGCCTAACACCACTGATGTTCCGTCGAAACTCTTAAGGCATCAAATGTTAAATATGCGGTGGCGGAGGTGGCGGCGATTAACACTGACAATGCGATTACCGAGTTTCGTAGACACAGGTTCCCTTGAATAGCTGCTGAATGACAGTTCGACCGAGGGACAAGAAACGCGTCTCAAGAAGACTCATAAAGAGGCTGTGGAATTCGGGAGCATCCTGCAACGCACAAATTCAACTCAATTCAGGCTACTGAGTGGTCAGGAGTTGCTAGACTGCAGGAAGCAGTTGTACACTGTACCTGTTGATCGCGCTCCGAGAGATGAAGAGCTTCTATCAGACCGCCAGGATCTACGAGGCTACAAGAGACGTGGAAGAACACGATGAGGTATCATTGAGGTACGCGGGATGAGGAAGTGAATCCTGCTTACCCCGTTTGACTGAGTTGCATTTGACTAAATATCATCTGTAGCTGCCCGACGACATCGCAGGAGTTTTCTGCAAAGTAGCATACAAAAAGATAGCTCCATTTTATGAAGACTGCACAAAATTAAGACGTTGGCCTAGCAGAATCACTAGACCAGATTAGACCACAAAACAGCCCCAAATTCATTACCGATAGAGGCGTTTTGATGGCTAGAGGAAATTCCCCATCGATCTGAAGTCGGTGCCTCAGACAGGACTTCGTCCGGTGACATGAGAATCGATTCGGAAAAGGGTAACAATCTTACATACCACCGAAGGGGAGTTGATAGACGGCCTCACGAAGTTCAGGAAAGTGAAAGTAGATTTGCAAAAAGGCGTTGAGGTAGCACGTGCTGCCGTAGTTCCTTAAGCCAGCACATTTCTGCACGCGCACAAAAAGGAGGCAGGTGAAGAAAATCAGCGATCGCTCGAGTAAGCACAAAGTGTGAGGATTCTTACCGGCACACTAGGCGAGGTAGTGGCGCTTCCTGGGTTGTCTGCTGAAGCAAGATCGGGCTCCTTGTTAATGAGACCATTCAAGCACCGGGTATTGCCCTTACACATTGTCCTAGCACGAGAAATCAAATTCAGAGCTGTCGAGAATGCCATTAACATCCACAAAAATGTTAATCTATGCACGGATTATTCAGGAGCATTGAAATCCGATTACTACAGCTTAAAATACCGCATATGTTCGACTAAAGGAGCCATACAAATTCACGAAAGGCTTAACAACTCAACTTCAAAGAACACTGGCGTGCAGATTTAGTTTGCAAATCAAATAAACACTTATACTAAGCGATATAGAAATGATTTAAAATACAACGAATCCTGAGGCACATATATTTTTACATAGCTTAACCACATTCGGCATTAAAAGGCTTGGTTGAAACCAAGGAAACGGAAACATCACGAAAAGGCATAATCACCCAGAATGATGTTGTGAGCACCGGCAAGTAGTCTCAGACATGGCCCGGGTTACTGAGCTAAATCTAGCCTGATAACGCTAACTTGAGTATCCGCATAGGATAAAAATACCGGAGAGGGCGTAATACAACCGTTTACTAGATAACCCAACGAAGTTGTATTGGTCGCTCAGCTGAGCATAGAAACGTATCAGACTAAAAGGGATTGTCGATAAATACATTATGGGTCGATCTGTAAAAGTACAAACGGCTGAACGGAGAGAGCAGCGTGGAGGTGGTACACGCACAAGGGTGAAAGAGCAGACGATTTAGCAAGATCGATAGGGACGGAGAGTAAATGAGGTCAGGATGGCGATGAATGACAGAACTGCGTTATTGGACGACAACTAATACGACTTACTACAATAATAAGATGGTCCAGCAACTTCATCTGCAGTCCTAATCAGACCGACTTCAAAAATAAGTTCAAAGCGTGACCTATGCATTGGAAGGATTCCCCATAAACAGCCAATTTGTCAGAATATGAAACATTTTATTCCACAAAAAGTTATGCTTTTTGACAACAAAGCTGATATTTTAAAAAATCAACAAAGTGGATGACAGTGGCATAAGCATCTTACATGCTGTATGTTTACCATGAAGTAAAAAAGTTATGAAAGCGTAAAAGCCAAGGAAAATAAATCAGACCAAAATATAAAATTTGATAGCTGTTCCCATCATAAAGAAGCAGCAATAAAAGTAGAGACCTTTTTTAGACGATCAAAAACAAATCTGTTCATAAACTAGAATAACTAACAGGATTGATTGTACAAATAGTTCAAAACAATACTTGCTAAGATAATTTGGTAACAACATGAAGACACCCTCATTCGGATTAGAGTGGGGTTTTAGCGTAATAGGCTTATTAATTTTTAATACTATGGTTATACATATGAGAAATCGATCTTTCTAATCCAGCAAAATCATGAACACCACTTAATACCGACGAAATACTAACCGGCAAGAACTGCCCAGGCACCGATCACTGTCCAGCCGATAAACCTTTGCTAAATGAAAAAGACCAACTTCGTCCGGGTGGCTGACATTTGATAAGCATTCCCATTTCCCGCCAAATCTCTTACACATTCGTTTAAGCCACTTAGCCTAGAATGTGAGCTAACACAAACAGCGAATTCAAGGGAGCCAATAACGAACGGGAACACCACTCTTCCTGTTGCAGGAAAACTATATATGCACTCTCCTTGTAGTAAAAATGAGAAAAATGAAAAATTACCTAAATTTTAAATCCATAACGACCAGATCAGCCTAAATTAAATAACAGCTAATATTTGATGGCAGCATGTAATTTCACTTGACATGTTGAGAATAGGACATTACTATTAATTAGAAATAAACAAGTGAGCTGTTTTTCTCTGGTATTACAAAGTCATGATTTCAAAAGGCGTGACTTAAGTTACGTTAAGGATCTTGGTTAAAAAAAATTAAATATATCTTGGTTTTTTTATGAAAATCAAATATATTAACAAAAAATAATGCATCTTCTCGGTACATACCAGTACGCGTAAACTAGCACGTTATTGATGTTTTTTTGTAATTTGCATTACTTAGTTAAATAGATGCGTTTGGAGATTCAAAAAATAATCAAAATTGATTTTGCAATAGATATCTTTGGAGCGATGTACTGTATCAGCTCTAAAAAGTTGATTTCAGAAGCGTCGCACGTACTGACTTATTCTTCTACATAGAATTATGTATTAGCTGACGTTGAGTGTATTAACTATCACTTTCTTTAAAACTCTTACAACGATAACTTTCAAAAATCATTAAGGTGTACCATTATCGGAACTTAGGATTTTTCGTTGAAAATCGTTAACGAACAAAAAAGTATAACCTAATGTAATCATTTTTATGTTCTGGTAGTGGCAGATTCCATTTTTGGTCTCGATAATTAAGGTTTCTCAAATCATTTAAAATATACGAAATCAGGGCTGACATATTTTAGAAACACCAGTTTCAGGTCTAGGTGTCCTGTAAAAAGCTTTTCCTGGACAAGGTTCCTTTAAGTAGCAAACCGTTAATTACATTAGGATTTTGGGGAAAATTTGCAATGCAAAAGATGGCTGTTTTTGATGCCACTGTCTTTAATGAGCCAGGAGAAATACTGAAAAAGTAGCCGACACATTTATCGTGTTATATTCTCTTAATCCATTGTTCCACCATTCTGGTTGTCTGGTAAGGCTACACAAAATAGCCGATAGTGGTAGGGACTATCTTTTGGATGCATTTGCTGTATAACATGTACTGGTTATTATACTTTTTGTCGTAATATTTATCATTTAGACTAACCGCAATATTAATTAACTTTACCGGATTGTCCTTGCTATTCCCCGATTTGACGAATCCAGATGAAATTTACAAGTGAAGTCAGTCAGCATAATCTAAGATACTGGTTACTACACCCTTATACATTTTTCATTTCAGTCGCAAGTGAGGATTCTTTAAACACTTTCTGCTCCCAATAAAAAATTTTAATTCCCCTGACTGCAAAATTTGTGATTTTTGGATTAAAAAGGCTGGTGCTAGAACAGAATTCATTCCATGCAGGGGAAATGATGCTTAAAAAATATTGCATGTTATTACATACTAAAGCCATAACTAGTGCAATAAATGCCATAAATATTTTACAAAATTGGTACGGGAATATTTTAATAACAATTTTATCCTGAGGATAAAGCTACGAATCTTGACCCACGCACGCTGTTCTTTATTCTCCTCTTCTCTCCCACAATCTCGTCATTCTCATGGCAAGCCGTAAATATGAGGGCAACGCCAGCCCTTTCCTCCCCCAGCTCTAAATCTTCCTTAGCCCTGATCCTCTGAATCTGCATGCGGCAGTCTAAAACACAGCGGGTACTTCCTGTCCTTCTTTTATCATATGCCTAGTAGCTTACCCTGTTGGTGTAGCTAAATAAGAGGGACAGGCAAATAATCATTAAAATATTAAAGTCCTCAATCGTTATTCGCATCACACTCACCAATAAACATACAGACGTCTTTGAAATTACCGTTCTGATTCAAACAAAACTGACATTGGACATCCAAAAACGATATTTAAGCACCCATAAACACGTCATTACAATGTCTTATTCAACATTTTCCCAAACATCAACAAAAGAGCACTGCGAACCGCTTTGTCAAGTAACTTCATACGACATATTGATTGCTTCATAGTGTCAAAATTCGACTTCGTGGTTGGATATGTTTGCGAATAAATACAGGGCCGGCATTTACCGGCATTATTTGAATGGTGACCAATGTCACCTACTTCAAAATGCAGTGTGTCATTCAGCGCACCCACTGTGTCATTAAAAGAACTTGAAACATTTTAACGAGTAACTCCCAAACTGAACCACAATGGTTACTATACTACTCACGGACGGTTAGTACTATGACGCAATACGATGGCAGTCAACCACAACTTCCAGTTGTCTGCGCCGACCAGTTCTCAGTAAAGTCGCACAATCTCAACCCCACCGGATCAAATGACGCGGTTCGCGTTAGATACAGACGAAAGTTGAAATTTCGACCAATCAGAAAAGACGAAAAAACAATGACAAATGAGAACACACACGTGTATCCCCGTGGTAACAACTAACATTATTGAATGAGTTAGAAAGTAAATT